TAGAGCCACTCAGCACATGCTCCTGTCCCCAGCCCACCCAGGCCTCCCCTGCCACTACCTTCCTACAGCCCCCTCCCCCGGGCTCCCCCTCAGGGAGAGTCTCCCCAGGGAAGGTGTTCCCTGGTGCATGTCGGGGCCTCGGGCCCTTCCTTGCCTCCCTCCCTGGCCCCAAGCAGAACCTACCTCCTGCCTGGCGCTGGGGCCACCACCCTGCCCTCCCCAGGCAGGAAGAACACCCAGAACCAGAGCTGCCCGGAGACTCCGGGCATGGCCGTCCTGCCGTGGCCACGTGACGGGGTCCTATGCGTGTCCCTCACAGGGACAGCTGCCAGCGGGGCTGGAGGCTGCTGTACATCCTGACCGCCTACCACAGCTGCTCGGAGGTCCTCCGGCCACCCCTCGTCCACTTCCTCCAGGACGTGAGCCAGAGCCCAGGCGTGCCCTTCCAGGGTGAGGGGCACAGCAAGGGGGGCCAGGGCCGAGGGCCTGTCTGCGTGGGTACCGGCCAGGCAGCCAGCAGGAGGGGAAATCCAGAGAGCCTGGCCCTTCACAGTGCCTGGGCCATGTTCGCCCAGATCCCCTCACTCCCCGGATGTGGTGGAGGCCCCGCAGGGGCTGGTGCGCTGGGCTGTCTGGTCAGTGGGGAGGGAGGCATGTCAGAGGAGAGGTGAATGGCTTCCCAGAGGAGCTGTTGCTCTGGGTAGGATTTCTCGTGCGCTGAGTGGCAGGAGCCAAGGCCTGGAGGTGGGCAGAGTGGCATGGGGAAGAGGAGGGGGGCCAGGCCTGGGCTGCGGGGGGAGGCTCTGCCCCTTGGGTCTTTGGCATCAACAGGGTCTTGAGCAGGTCCAGGCCGGGGTGGGCCCAAAGCTAGGGGCAGGGGCTCAGCCTTTCCCCCCTTGGAGTGTGGAGGAAAGGGGCCACTCCTCAACCTCAGCCTTGTTTCCATAGCAACTCCCTGGTCCCCCTAAGAAAGAGCCAGGGCCCCTGCGGTCACCACAGCAGCGGTGAGAGAGATGGGGGACCTCCCTCTGCCTCCGAGTCCTCCTCTGCTTTGAGTAGCGCACACTCCCAGGTCAGAGGCGGAGAGGCCAGCTCCGGGGGGGCTCAGAGTGGCTCCCGGCTTCCCTGCCCAGCAGGTGCGGCACTGCCTAGTCAGACACGCAGAGGCAGGCCACGGGGTCTCCTGCCGGGACTCCGGGGGCGGGAGGCGGTCCGTGGGGGCCCACAGCTGCACCCCCATAGTCACAGCCTCTTAGGGACAAGCCCCCCATCAGCAGCTCAAGGTGACAGCTGTTTCCCGGGCTCCTAGGGTAGCCCAGGGGGCTGTGGACCTAACAGAAGGCCTGAGCCTGTGGGCTGTGGGTTTGAGCGCGGCACTAGCACTCCAGCCTTTGACCTTGGGCCGATCACTGCCCCTCTGGGCTGTTTCCTCAGCCAGCAAATTGGAGAGTAAAAGCTCATCCCACTGGCTGTGCAGAGAACCCGTGGGCTGGCGGCCGGCGGCCAGAGGAGCCTGACTGCCGACCTGGGCAAGGCCTTTGCTCTGTCTTTGTAGGAATCGCCAAGGCCTGTGAGCAGAACCTGCAGAAAACCTTGCGCTTCGGCGGCCGTCTGGAGCTGCCCAGCAGCATGGAGCTCCGGGCCCTGTTGGTGAGCGTGGGGTGGGGGTCAGGGCGAGCGGAGAGGCCTGCTGTGCTCAGAAGGCCTTCAGGTCCCCGGCACAGGTGCTCCTGCAGGGCCTGCCTGAACCTTTGGCTCAGGGACGCCCGTGGCAGGGGACGATGGCTGGCCCAGATCCCTCAACCCAGCCTTCCTGTCTCCTCACCCTCCCTTGTCCCAGGCGGGCCGCAGTTCCAAGAGGCAACTCTTTTTCCTCCCTGGAGGCCTGGAACGCCATCTCAAAATCAAAACGTGCACCGTAAGTGAGGGGATATTTCCAGCAGGCAGCTGCTGGGGGGTGTGGGGGGGGGGCAAGGACACCCCAGTCTCCAGAGTGGCCCCCAAGGGTACTGAGCCCCTCCCAGGCTCTCTCACATAGTCCACAAGGCAGGACACTTCTCAGAAGAGCAGGCTGAGCCTGGGGAGGTGGAGCCTCCAGCTCAGGTCACACTGGGAACAAGGGGCAAGCCAGGCCCTCTCAGACCAGAAGCTGTGCTCCCTGCCTGCGAGGCGGTTCTCAGAGCCCAGGGCTGCCTCTGTGCAGGGCCCGGGAGCTCTGCCCTCGGTCTGCTGGCGGCTGGGAGGACAGAGGTCGGCGGCTGGCCCAGCCTCACTCTCCCCGCCCGCAGGTGGCCCTGGACGTGGTGAAGGAGATCTGTGCTGAGATGGCCTTGACACGCCCTGAGGCCTTCGATGAGTACGTCATCTTTCTTGTCACCAACCGAGGTGAGCTGCCAGGAGGACCGAGCTCGCTGGGCTCACGCCCTACATGGCCTCCAGGGTTCCGGCCAGAGGCCACTTTCTCCCAGAAGCCCCTCGACCCCGTGTGGAGGGACCATTCTGTGCCCCGAGCACCCAGCCCTTGTCTGTCCCTCTCTGCTCCGCCGTGTGTACGACTGTCTCGCCTCCCAGACGGGACTTTGTGGAGGAGAAGGCCCTCTGACTCCTACCGCGGCCCCTCGGACCTGCTCAGGGACCCTGCCCTCAGGAGCCCCCATCCTAGGAAGGGTTCCCTTAACAGGCCCCAGCTCCTGGGACCCACAAGTGCGAGCATTTTCCCCACCACTTATGCCTTCGCATAGGCCATAGAGGCCCTCCCTTGGTCTCACTCGGTCCCACCCCTGCCCTCTGCTGTCTACCCACTGAGACGCCAGCTGGCCGGCCGCATCCTCTCCCACCAGCTCTCCCACTGCCCCCTCATCCCTGGACCACGTGTCTGTCCTCAGCCCTTGCCCGGAGTCCAGCCAAGGCATGGCAGGAGGGGAAGGCAGTAACAAAACAGTCCTGTGACGGACACGCACTACGTCCCAGGCACAGTTCAGAGCATTTAATCCCATCTCCTCCTTCAGTCCCCACCACAGCCCTGGGACATGGAGCCCATCATCACCCCATTTATAGATGGGGAAGCCGAGGCCCATGAGGGTGTAGTAGTTTCCTGTTGCTGCTGTAACAAATCACCACATACCTGGGGGCTTAAAACCACACGCGCTTACATGTTTACGGCTCTGCAGGTCCCTCGGGGCTGGTTCCTGCTGGAGCCTCTGGGGGGACAATCTCTTCTTGCCTCTTCCAGCTTGTTGGGACTACCCCCATTCCTGGCTCATGCCCTCCTCCAGCCTCAAAGCCAGCAAGGCAGCATCTCCCTCTCTCTCTCTCTCACTCTCGCTCTCGCTCTCTCTCATTCCTTCTTATAAGGGTCCTTGAGATGACATTCGGTCCGCTTGGATGACCTAGGACAGTGATGGCGAACCTATGACACGCGTGTCAGAGGTGACACGTGAACTCATTTTTTTGGTTGATTTTTCTTTGTGAAATGACATTTAAATATATAAAATAAATATCAAAAATATAAGTCTTTGTTTTACTATGGTTGCAAATATAAAAAAATTTCTATATGTGACACAGCACCAGAGTTAAGTAAGGGTTTTTCAAAATGCTGACATGCCGAGCTCAAAAGGTTCGCCATCACTGACCTAGGATAATGTCTCCATCCCAAGATCTTTCACGTAATCACATTTGCAAAGTCCCTTTTGCCATGAAGGTAACGTATTCACGGGTTCCAGGCTTAGGGCATGGACGTCTTTGAGAAAGGGCCAGTAATCAGCCTGCCTTGGAGGTCAAGGGACTCGCCCAAGGTCACGTATTTGGGCGTTGAACCCAGGCTGTCTGGCCCCAAGAGTCTGGACTTTATCGTCATGACACGGCCCTCTCTGCGGTAAAGCTTGATGGGCGGTGGGACGGGGAGCAGAAGTGCCTGCAGGAAATGAAGGAGCCGCCTTCAGCCTCGCCACAGGCTCTGAGCCACCGGTGCCGGGCGGAGGCCGCCCCACCCCACGCAGCAGCCCAGCAGTGCCCTCTGAAGGGGTCCTGCCGAAAGGCACTCAGGGAGCTTCCCCGTCCCCACCTCCTCCGGAACGGCCTGGGCTGTGTCTGAGCACGACCCCGGACACTTTCCAGACGCAGCGGCCACAGCTGCGCCCGGGAGGCATCCTGTCGGCAGTCACCAGCATCCCACAAACACAGGGCACCCTGGTCCACAGCATGCACGCCTTCTGGGGTGCCATGTCCCAGCAGGGGCTTGCCCAGGTGATGCTCGCCGGGGCGACAGCTTGGGGGTGTACGCCTGTGCACACACGTGCCCCCCCCCCCCCCCCCCCCCCCCCCCCCCCCAGCACGTGTGCCCACTCAGCCGCTGCACCTACATCCTGGACGTGGCCTCGGAGATGGAGCAGGCGGAGAGCAGCTACATGCTCTGGTTCCGGCGTGTGCTCTGGGACCAGCCACTCAAGTTTGAGAATGAGCTATACGTGACCATGCACTATAACCAGGTCAGCACGTGTGGGCCACCCATGCTCTGGAACCTTCCTGGCTCCCCCAGGGCTGTGAGGTCAAACTCTATGGCCATTTGTTCGAGGCCTTCACGGTTCGGGTGGTCCCCACTGACGGTTCAGCCCTGGTGCCCTGCCCCCTGCATGGCTTCCTCGGAGCAACAATGACATTACCCTCACTACCTAATCTCAGACCTCTGCCCGCAGGTGCCGGCACTCTGCCCGGCCTGCCTTCCTGCGTCTCTGCTATCCTCCTCCTCCTCCTCCTCCTCCTTCTCCTCCTCCTCCCTCTCCTCCTCCTTCCCCTTCCTCCTTCTTCTTCCTCCTTCTCCTTCTTCCTTCCTCCTCCTCCTCCTCCTTTCCCTTTTCTTTCACCTTCCTCCTTCTTCTTCCTCCTTCTTCTTCCTCCTTCTCCTTTTTCCTTCCTCCTCCTCCTTCCCCTTCTCTTTCCCCTTCCTCCTTCTTCTTCCCCCTCCTTCCTCCTTCCTCCCTCCTCCTCCTCCTCTCTCTTCCTTCCTCCTCCTCCTCCTCCTCCTCTTCTTCAACATTTTTATTGATTTCAGAGAAGGAGAGAGAGGGAGAGAGAGAGAGAGAAACATCAATGATGAGAGAGACTCGTTGATTGGCCGCCTCTTGCACACCTAGCATGTGCCCTGATGGGGAATCGAACCCTGACCCCGAGTTCATAGGTCAATGCTCAACCACTGAGCCACACGGCTGGGCACGTCTCTGCTTTTCTAAGTCCTTCCCAGCAAGGCTGCCCCAAACAGCACCTCTTCCCCTTCTCCCCTCCTCGGAGTGCATGCCTGTCCCTCTCTCAAAGGCCTAAAGAGGCCTTGGCTGCCAGTGTTGTTTCTATCTTTGTGTTATTCCCATTGGAATCTTGGTCCTCTCAGTTAGGATCCTGGGGTTTATAAAATCTGGCTCTCTCTCCTCTGCTAACATTTGTGGAAGTGCTTGGACAGAGAGTGTGTTTTTCGTGTGGAACTGGTGCCAAATTTTCCCCAATTCCAAGTACAAAATAAGGTTACTTGGCTTGTATGGCCACATGGTGTCACTGTTGCCAACGACCCCACACAGTCCAGTCCAGTGCTGGTCTAGGTGTGGCCTATAGGCAGCAGCGTTCCTTGGGAACTTGTTAAAATGCAAATCCTTAAGTCGAGCCCCCGATCTGTAATCAGAGTCTGGGGGGTACCACCCATGAATCTGTTTTTAGTGATTCAAGCATATTCCGTTTTCAGTAACCCCAGCCCAACAGACACCCACACACCGCAGTGTGGACGCCCACACTCTTCCCAGATCACTGTGGGGACGGCCACGCCCCACTGCTTGACGCCCTGCACACCTGCTGCCCCTCATCGCGTGCTCCCCTGCAGGTCCTGCCCGACTACCTGAAGGGCCTCTTCAGCAGCGTGCCGGCCGGCCAGCCCCGCGAGCAACAGCTGCAGCAAGTGTCCAAGCTGGCTTCCCTGCAGCACCGGGCCAAGGACCACTTCTACCTGCCCAGCATGTGAGCACCTGCCCACCTGCCAGCCCCCACATTCTCAGAGTTGGACATCCCAGGCCCTGTGCACCCCGCTCACCAGCAGGCTGTCTGGGAAGGGGCTGACCTGGCCATGGGCTACCATCCTCCAACTCGCCCTGAGAGCTGGGGCCCTCCTCCTCCCACAACACGTTGCTTCCAGCTGGTATTAACAGCTCAGAATAAATTTAATGATAAGAAGGCTTTCAGGACACACATCCCCGTCATCCGGGGAATACACGCGGCCATGCAGAAATGCTCACCAGGGCATTGCATCCAACAGCAAGGCCTTCCTGGGTGCTATGTTCTCACAGGGGTGATAAATCAGTCCTTCTCAGGAATAGGACCCCAAAGAGCTTTTGTTTATGTGGGCTGTATCCATTAATATATATTTACCATATTCAAAATTAAAACTCAGGAACAATTTAAAATATTGATTAATTAATTTAAAAACAAGGATAATATATTACATCTCTCTATATAAAAGCCTAAGCGACCGTTCAACCGTTCGACCAGTAGCTCTGACATGCACTGACCACCAGGGGGGCAGACGCTCAATGCACAGGCATGGAAACATGGAACAGACTGATGAATCTCAGAGGGAAGGGGGGAGGGGGAGGCGGGAAGAGATTAACCAAAGTTCTTATATGCATATTAAAGGCCTGGTGCACGGATTCATGCACCGGTGGGGTCCCTCGGCCTGGCCTGCAGGGATTGGGCCAAAACCGGCAGTCCGACATCCCCTGATGGGTCCCGGATTGTGAGAGGGCATATAAGATCTTTGGTTAATCTCTTCCCGCCCTCCCCCATCCCCCCTTCCCTCTGAGGTTCATCAGTCTGTTCCATGTTTCCATGCATGTGGTTTCTGCTCCTGAATTGAGCATCTGCCCCCTGGTGGTCAGTGCATGTCATAGCTATCAGCTGGCTGGTCAGCCGGTCACTTAGGCTTTTATATATATAGATAATGTAAGTTAACATTACATGTTAATATAAACAACATAAAAAATGTATTTTCCAAAAAAATTTAGTGAGAAGAGTGGCACTGTTTTTACATTTTGTAAATCTATTTTATTTTATTTATTTGAGAACAAGGGGCAGGGAGACAGAGAAACAGTGATGAAAGAGATAAACATCTATGGGTTGCCTCCCAAAACATGCCCTGACTGGGAATCAAACCCACCACCTTTTGGTGTACGGGACGCCGCTCCAGCCCACTAAGCCGCAGCGGCTGGGGCTGTGAATTGCGTCACCGTGTGGCTGAACAGAAGACACCTGGTTCTCACGCCTGCTTCTGCAGCCAGTCTGCTCTGGTCTCACATGCCATGTCGCCTCTGGCAGGCTCCCCTGTCCTTGTGAGAGAACAAGAGGGAAAAACCAAATAACGGCTCAGTGTTAACATGGGCGTGTCCTTGACCCCCCAGAGCCTCGCCCACTTTGAAAATCCCTGTGTGAATAATGGTAAGATAATGTATCTACAGTGAATGTCCTGGTGCTGTCATTCAGTAAGGGCTCAACACGTAAAGCTCTTTGATGTTACGGTTTTAAGCAAAAAGCATGGGAAGCACATAAAAGTATACTATAATCCTAATCCTGGGTAGAAAGAATCATTGGGTTCTTACTTTCTGCAAAGCACTCTGTATCCACTTTATTTTCCCCTTACACAGATGAGGCAACTGAGGCCCAGAGAGGTTGCATGGCTTGCTGAAGCTTACCCAGCTAAGTGCGGGGGGCCAGGTCCAGGCGCCAGGCGCCTACCCAGCACTGCAAAGAAGGGGGTCTCTCGGGGAAGGGGATGCCCATGACTTTCTCCCAAACGTCCCCCCGCCCGCAGCTCGGGGTCCTGGGCCTGGCTTTCCCCGCCCGCAGCTCGGAGTCCTGGGCCGGCTGGAACTGCCGTTGGTGTTTCCCAGCTGCCCGGAGAGGCACAGGAGCTGCCCCGAAGACGCAGCATGTTAGAGAGAAGGGCCTGGAGGGGAGATGGGGCGTCTGGCAGCTTTCTTCTACCTCATCCTCCGACCAGTGCTGGTGGTGGCTTTGCCGGCTCTGGTAGTTCCGCACCTGCCACTGCTGTGTGCTGCTCGCCCCTCTGGCCTGGGTTTCTTCTTGGGGGTACGAACCCACCTTGGATTCAAGGCTCAGCGCCCCCACTCAGACTCACTTGGTTGTTGTGTGGCCTCAGGCTAGGCAGTGAACTTTTCAGAGCCTCAATTCCCTCATCTTCAAACAGGAAGTCGCGGTGCTGGCCAGCAGTTATAGAGCACTGCTGTGTGCCAGGGCACCGGGAGCACTTAATACCCATCCCCAACGCCTCCGCACTCCCCAGCGGTTAGTCTGCCGGGAGGTGCCGGGAGCACATGGCTCTGCACCAGCCTGCGGCCAGGATCGCAGGAGACAGTGCTCAGGCCGCCTTCCCCCCACGTGCAGGCGGGAGGTCCAGCAGTACATCCCGGCTCAGCTCTTCCACTCCACGGCCGGCGCCGCCTGGCTCAGCCTGGTCAGCCAGCACCGGCAGCAGACACAGGCGCTCAGCCCCCACCAGGCCCGTGCCCAGTTTCTGGGTAAGAGTCTGGGGCTGGGGAGATCATCATGGGGGCTTTGCTGAGGAGGGGTTTCGGAAGGGGGAGATGAAGGCACCTTTTTCTTGCACAAAGGCATCTTCAGTGTGCGTCACGTGACGCTGAGCTGCCTGGAGAGAACACCTTTCTAAAACTTTCACCAAGGCACCACCTAGACCAGTGATGGCGAACCTATGACACGCATGTCAGAGGTGACACGCGAACTCATTTTTTTTGGTTGATTTTTCTTTGTGAAATGGCATTTAAATCTATAAAATAAATATCAAAAATATGTCTTTGTTTTACTATGGTTGCAAATATAAAAAAATTTCTATATGTGACACGGCACCAGAGTTAAGTTAGGGTTTTTCAAAATGCTGACATACCAAGCTCAAAAGGTTCGCCATCACTGCCCTAGACTCTGGGTAGCTCTTGGCAGAGAGAGCTGGCCGCCAGGGCTGGGAGCTGCAAGCAGGGGGAGGGCAGGAAGGCGCGAGACAGGAGGCTGGGACGGAGCACCCCTGCGCTGGCTGCAGTGGGGAGGATGAGGGCTGCGGGCGACAGGCAGTTGAAGGCGTGTGCCACTGATGAGCCCCTCATTCTGACTGTCCCTCTCCTGCCCCAGGCCTCCTCAGCGCCTCCCCCATGTTTGGCTCCTCCTTCTTCTTCATCCAGAGCTGCAGCAACCTTGCTGTGCCGGCCCCCAGCATCCTTGCCGTCAACCAGAATGGCCTCAACTTCCTCAGCACTGAGACCCACGTGAGTGGCCTCAGCCCGCTCCGCTGCTCACCCTCTTCCCAGAGCCCACCCCTCAGAGGGACTGAGCCCAGCTCCACCACTTACACCTGTGTGGCCGGGGCAGCCCCCCACCTCACGAGCCTCAGTTCCTCGTCTGGAACACAGGGATGATAGAACTCACCCCATGAAGCTGTGAAAGCAAAACACCGCCAAACACCCAGACAGTGTCTCAGTCGCTTAGGCTGCCGCAGGCAGGGCCTCAGCAACAGAAAGTAACTGTGATTGTCTCACAGCTCTCCAAGCCCAGGTGCCAGCAGGGTTGGTTTCCTGAGCCCCTCTCCTCTCTCCCCGTGGCTTATCGGTGGCCGTCTTCCCCGGTGTCCTCATGTGACCTGTTCTCTGCATGTGTCCTGGTGTCTGTTCTGTCCAATGTCCCCATCTCACGAGGACACCGGTCAGATTGAGTTGGGGCCCCTCCAATGGCCGCAGTTTAACTTCATCACCTCTTCAAAGGCCCATCTCCAATGACAGCCATATTCTGAGGTTTGGGGTGTTAGGGCTTCGACATTTGGATTTGGGGGGACATGATTAAGTCCATAACAAATAGGACCTGTGGCCCCCTTCTTAGTTCTTCCAGAAGTGAACCTCCACATGAGGACAGGGCAGGTGGTTTATCTGGGGGTGACTCTAGGAAGCACTGGAGTGAGGGAGTGAGATCAGGAAGGGCCAGCCTCACTCCGTGGGAAGTGTAGGTTAGCAAGCAAGTTGCCGCCGTGCAAGTGGCACTGAGTCCAGCGGGCTCTCCGGGAGGCGGCATGGGACACACCCACAGAGGATGCCTCTGGCCTGGGCTCAGGGGAGCCAGGGCGCCTGCCCACCACGTCCCCCTCGGGCATTCGTGGAGGCATTCACTCTCATAGCTCTGAGTGCTCCTGGAGCCAGAGAGAAAGCTCCAAAGAGGGGCAGGTGTTACGAAGCAGGCTTGATGCTAAGGTCAGGGCACCCCACATCTACAGCACCCCTGGATCCCAAGCACTTGCAAGAGTGCCTGGCACACTGCAGAGGTATGCATTCGCATTGCTGAATCAGTCTTACAGGTGGGGTCCGAGAGGTAAAGCCAGGACTTGCTCCCGGTCACACAGCAAGTCACTGGGGAGCTGGTACTCGACCGGGTGTCCTGCCTCCTGTTGATCAGGTCTGCGGGGGAGGGATAAGGTGGGTGAGACTGTTCCACCCATAGGCCTGTCTGTCCCCCGCCCCAAGGAGCTGATGGTGAAGTTTCCCCTGAAGGAGATCCAGTCGACGTGGACCCAGCGGCCCACAGCCAGCTCCAGCTACCCCTACGTGGAGATCGTGCTGGGGGATGTGGCAGCCCAGTGCACCATGCAGCTGCAGCTGGAGCAGGTGGGCCCTCCCTCAGCACCCAGACCTTGTCACCCACCCTCGCTCCCTTATTTCACTCACCAGGCTCTCCCCTGCGTCTGGCTCCAAGGGGACCCATCCCTGTCCCCTCCTCTCGTGTTCTGGCCAGGCCACAGGGAACATCCAGCCCAGTGCAGGTGACAGAACTAACCCAACACTGCACAGGACTGCAGGCCTTTGCCGTGGTCTCCCAGCAAGGGCTGGGTGATGAGCTCATAGGAAAGAGCCCAGGGTGTGTGCAGAATCGCGAGGTGTTTGCTAGGGAACTGGGAGGCAGCCAGGGCAGGAGAGGTAGTGAAGGTCCGCGAATGCCGAGCTCAGAGTCCGGGGCTTTCCTCTGAGGGCACTAAAAGGTTGGTGAAAGGACAGTGGCCCAGAAGCTGGGCTTGGAAGGTGGATTGTGGGGACTGGGATTGAGAGTAGGGATAGTGGGGTCCCCATGTGATATACAGGGACACAGGCCCACCTGCCCTGTTCCTTATTTGCAGCAACTGTGGCTGATCCTTAAAAGGTATGGCTGACTTCTGGGCTCCTGTCCAAGTATCACAGCCCCCAGGGAGCGGGCGGGGGGGGGGGGGGGGAGCGGGGGGGGGGGGGGCAAAACCAGAGTTTTCACCCCATTGAAAGAGGACTGAGGCTCACAGATGCGGGCAGAATGGGGGCTGGGACCCACACGTCTGCCTTTGACAGCCTACCACATCCCTCCTCAGATCTGGGCCCAGGACAACGCCAGGCCAGGGCCTGCCTTGAAGGAGCTGATTTCCTAGGGCAAGAGGGAGGGTCTCCCACTGCCCCGCCCTGACTCTGACAGCCCAGAACAGAGCCCCTTTGGCTCTTTGTGGCCCTTGAAGAGCCTGCAACTCAGGACGAGGCTCCCCGGTTTGCTTCCTACTGTATCCCAATTCTGCTTCTGCCGAGGTCACCCCAATTCTGGCCTTACCCTCTGGCCCAGTCTGCTTCCCAGAACCCTCTTCTCTGAGCTCCCACCACAGTGAACCTCCTTCCCATACCTGCCGACCACCCACTCTATCTTGGGCTCCTTTCCTGGTGCCTCCTCCCCGGACTGCCTCTGAATGTTGCCTCTCCCCCAGGACCCCCTGTAGCACTGAGGCTCCCCAAACCATCTGTGTGAGAGCCCCCTGGAGATCAGCAGTTCTCTCCACTTTCCCTCCCAACCCTCCCAGGCACTGTAGCCCCCAACCTAGGAGCCTTCCCATCCCTGCCCCCCCTCTCATTGTCTCTGTGGCCCTCTGCTCTCACCCCTCGCCCAGCCATCCTGGCCTCTCCCAGCTCCCTAACGACAAGATGGCCCTCCCTCCTGCCCCAGGCCCTCTGTACTCACTGTCCCCTCTACCTGGAGTGCGTGCCCCCCTTCGCCTGTCAATCACAGGGCCCCTCCCTCCCTTTATTGTAGTTCCAGGGCAAACATCACCTCCTCCTAGAGCAGTGGTTCTCAACCTTCCTAATGCCGCGACCCTTTAATACAGTTCCTCATGTTGTGGTGACCCCCAACCATAAAATTATTTTCGTTGCTACTTCATAACTGTAATGTTGCTACTGTTATGATCTGATAAGCAGGATGTATTTAGGCGACCCCCAAAGGGGTCTCGACCCACAGGTTGAGAACCGCTGTTCTAGAGGCTTCCCTGACCCTCCTTCCTGATCATCGTCTCCTTCTGTCTTGGTGGCCCGCACGATGGCTTGCAAACCATTTAGTTATTTGTTCATGTGTCCTGCCTGTCTCCCCCCTGGACTGTCACACGAAGGGCATGTCCAGCACGATATCCCTAACACGGTGCCAGCACGGCAGATGCTCAGCAGTGGATGCATGAACCGGGGGAGACCTTTTTGGCTTGTCCACTTCTGCCTCTTGCATGTGTGTGTACAGGGGACACATTCATTCATTTAACACATAACCCCTGAGCATCTCTAGGTCGCAGGCTCTGCACTGGCTGCAGGGACACTGAAGTGACTGAAACCCCTCAGCACTGGCTCTCACAGAGCCCGAGTCTCATGGGGGAAACAGATATCAAAGAATTTCTCCAATAAACCATGGCGATCAGTGCTGAGAGGGTGTCCTTGAACTATCTGGAGGTCATCAGGGAAGCTTCCAGGAGGTAGTGATGTCTGAGTACAGCATGATTCAGCCAACAGACCCAGGTCCCTATCCTGCCTGCCCCTGACAGACTGTGTGAGGGTGTCTCAAGCTACCCTGCTTCTTACTGAGCCTGTTTCCACACCTGTCAAGGGGGCAATGATCCCAGTGAGGCCTGGAGCCCTGCAGCATGTAGATAGAACTGGCTGGGAGGAGGACCCCATTGTGTACTCACTGGGATCACATTAGCTGAGGTGGCCCCCAGGGTGGGACAGGCACAGCTAACCTCAGCAAAAGAGCAGTTCAGAGTGTTGGCCTCCTCCCACCAGCTGTGAGGTCTGGGTAAGTGACTTCATGGCTCTGGCCTCAGTTTCCTCACCTGTGGAATGGGATCTCAGAGTGTGTGCCTCATAGGGAACTGGGGACTAGCAGGGGTAGGACTCAGGACGATGCCTGCCACTCAGTAACTGTTGCCCTCATTATTTCTACCCTTTTTCTGGAGCAGCTTCTGCTGGCCCTCAGGGCATTCCCCGGGGATTCCAGCTGGCTGTGGTCTGAGAACCATACTCACAGATGGATTTTCCAGTTCCCTGCCCGTCCCCCTCTATCCCCAATCCCCCAGTTGGGAGCCCTGAGGCTGAGACATAGCTTATTCTGGGCTGTGAGTGCCAGGTCGTAACTGGCAATACAGTTAGAAACTTGCCATTTATTGACTGGACTAATATTCTTTTTTTTTTCTTTAAAAAAAATATATTTTATTGATTTTTTTTGTTACAGAGAGGGAGAGCGATAGAGAGTTAGAAACATCGATGAGAGAGAAACATTGATCAGCTGCCTCCTGCACACCCCCTACCAGGGATGTGCCCACAACCAAGGTACATGCCCTTGACCGGAATCGAACCTGGGACCTTTCAGTTCCCAGGCCGACGCTCTATCCACTGAGCCAAACCGGTTACGGCCTAATATTCTTTTAATCTAAAGAATGTACACATGGAATCCTCACCACAGCTCCATGAGGCAGACCCTGGTAAACTGAGATCCTACATCAGGCCACTGAGGCTCAGAGAGGTGCAATAATTGGCCCTAGGTCACCCGGTTCACATGCAATAAAGCTGGCAGATGCTCTTGCGTCTCCTGCTTGCTTACCCCTTCCAGCCGATAGCCCAGCATCCCTCCTTCCAGCTCATCATGCTCCTCCCAGGGCCCTGGGGGCGCTGGGGAGACTGTCTCCCATCCACTTCCTACCCCAGGTGAGAGCCGGGCACGTGGGGTGGCCGTGGACTCTGGTCTCTCCTGCAGGGCCTGGAACTGTGCCGAGTGGTGGCTGTGCACGTGGAGAACCTGCTCAGTGCCCGGGAGAAGCAGCTCACGCTGCCCCCCAGTGAGATCACGCTGCTCTGACCCGCCTCAGCCCTGCAGCTGCACTGCCAGCAGGCTCGCTCTGCGGCCCCAGGGGAGTTCCTGGGCCTCTCCGTGCCGGTGACCTCTACAAGGGCCAGAACTTAGGGGAGACCAAAACATGGGAGGAGGAATGACCCAAGTCCCCAGGAACCCAAGACCTAGCCAGAGTTGGGATGGAGTCGAGACACGCAATCTTGAGTCAGAAAGCAGGACTCCCCCCGAAGGCTGCCCATGGGCCTCCTGCCATGTACACTCAGGCCCGGGCCCCGACTCCCACCTGTGGCCGGGAAGCCCCAAACCAGTGGCCTGGATGAACTGGACTTTGCCTTTGGTTTGACGGGTCTGATGTTCAAACCTGCTCCACTTCTCAACCTCTCACATGTCCTCCTTGGGTGCCCCCGTACGGCCACTCAGCTTGGACTCATGACCCTTGGTCATTTCTGTACAAATAAAAGGTGCACCTGGCAGCCAGTCCTCCATGGTTGCTGAGTTGCTGGAAAACAAATCTGAGGGAGGAAGCAGGAGCTGGAGGCCTAGCTGTGCCCCTGACTCACTGCCCATGAACAGAACTTCCAGCAGAGACATATCTTTACCTCTCCTTGCAGACCTCTGTGCCCCCACTCCTTGGGTGACCCCAACCCCAGGCCCCCATCACTGGATGGGCCACATAAGGTTCAAGAGTGGTATAGTGGAGAAAGAAGCTCCATGTTAGGGGCTGGGGAGGGAGAAGTCTAGGAGCTTCCCAAGGAATAGGACTTTGTTATTGGGTTTTGAAGAATGAATAGGAGTTTGCTAGGACTAGATGGAGCAGAGGGGAGTGAACATTCCAGAGAAAATGGTGTTTGTTTCCACTATATCCTCCAGAGCCTAGGACAATGCCTAACACAAATTAGGCACTTAAAAAATACTGGTCACGTGAATAAAATAATAAATGAATATTAATGGAAAGTGCTGGTGCTTTGGGGAAACTGGGGGTGGGAGGGGAGCAGCAGACTTGGGAGAGGAAGTCTGAAGAGGTATGTGGGGGCATAATTGGCTGAAGCCACGGGGTCAGAGGAAGGATTTATTTACTTATGCATTACCTATTAAGCACCTACTGTGTACTAAGCAAATGCAAGGTACTGGAAGTTGCTCATAGTTAAAGTATAGAGCAAGACAAGACCTGTAAATGAGGATTAGCTGGGTGACGAGGGGAGGAAACAGCATGCGCAGAAACCCTGAAGTAGAGATTCCTAGGGGGTGGACATTCCTAGTGGCAGGACTTGAGACCGGAGGCTCACAGGGTGGTTTGGGAAAGGCTTTGCAGACTATGTGGGATTTCATCCCAAAAGCCATGAGGAGCCTTCAAAGTTTTTTCAATGAGGGGTGGCAATCTGCTCAGATTGTATTCTGAAAAGGTCATTCTGATCACAAAGCAGAGTGCATGCAGGAGGCAGGGAGACCAGAGGGGAGGCTGCTGCAATGCCAGCTGGGAAACGCTGTGGTGTGGACAGTGGTGGTGGTGGTGACAGGGGTGGGCAGAAGTTAAGTTGGGAGAGATTTAGGTCCAATGGGAAGGACTGAGGGATCAATCAGACCATCCTGAGGCAGGGATGTCCCACTTTCACCAACGCCCTAGGTTGGTTTCCTTCAGAAGCAGTCCCAAGATAGAGCCCACAAAGAGCTACCCCTACACAGTAGGTCTACCCAGGTGTGAGCTGAGAGGCTTTTAAGGTCAGATGATTGCCACGTGGAAGTGGATCCTCCAGGTTGAGCCCTCCCAGCTGATGCACATGAACTCGGAGTAGCCTCCTGGCTGAACCCTGACCAGACGGCAGATCTGTGAGCTGGTTAACTGACTGAGGCCTCAGCTTTGGGTGCTTTGTTACCGAGCACTGGATTAGGAGATAGTAGGGCTTTTTGATTTCAGGGCCTGGGCCTTAAGGCATAGGCTCATGTTTTCACAGCTGTTATGGCGACTAGTGGCATTAGAGAGTTGAACCCTCTTAAGAGCAGGTGACAATCTCCATGAGGCAGACTGGAAAGAGTCAGGGGTGGTAGGAGAGTCGACCCTGCTGTATTCCCAGATACCCTAGGGCCGTGGTTCTCAACCTTCTGGCCCTTTAAATACAGTTCCTCATGTTGTGACCCAACCATAAAATTATTTTCGTTGCTACTTCATAACTGTAATGTTGCTACTGTTATGAATCGTCATGTAAATATCTGATATGCAGGATGGGCTTAGGTGACCCCTGTGAAAGGCTTGTTCGACCGTCAAAGGGGTCGCGACCCACAGGTTGAGAACCGCTGCCCTAGGGGTACCACACTGGGCCCCCCTACCTGACCCAAGACCCAGAAAGATAGGAACTCCAGGTAGCTGTGAGGAGATCCAGAGCAGAGGGGACCAAGCCCCACAGCCTACCATGGAGTGAGAACAATACAGGGAAAATGACTGGGTGGCATGGGAGCCTGAGACAGTCAACGGGTGAAGGTTTGGGATCACGGATGGGTGCAGCAGGATGCACCATATCTGCGCACTGAAAAGTAACCAAAAGGACCTTATTGCTGCCCCTATGTGGGACGGGGTTGGACATGGCCAGGTTCCAATGTCCACACACTCCCCACTCTGGTCTTCCCCTGCCCAGGGCCCACAGACTCTTCAGAAGATCTTGGCTTGGTAGTTAAAGGCCCAGGCTGCGGACCCAGAAAGGCCTGTGTTCAAATTCCACATCTGTGTGCTGATTAGCTGTGTGGCCTTTTGCAAGTGACCTGGCAGAGGGCTTAAGTACAGTGCCCGGGTCCCAGGTGTCCAGAATTCCCCATTACACAGATCCTGCTGTCCTGGCCTTGCCAAGTCACTACACAACAACCTCCACCTCCCGGCAGGGACTGGTCGGATCCTGTTTACAGATGCAGAAACTGAAGTGCAGACTCAGGGTCAGCAATACCCTCTGCTTAACACACATGACTTCACTTCATCCTCACAACTGCCATGATGTGGGCACTAATGCTATTCCCATTTCACAGACCAGAAGACTGAGGTTCAGAAAGAAAAGTCACTTGCCCAGGGTCATACAGCCTGTCAGGTCAAAATTCAAATCCAGCCCGAGCCGGTTCGGCTCAATGGATAGAGTTGGCCTGTGGACCAAAGGGTCCCGGGTTCTATTCCATTCAAGGGCACATACCGCGGTTGTAGGCTCCTCCCTGGCCCCGGCTGCGCAGGAGGCAACCAATCGATGTTTCTCTCGCATTGATGTTTTTCTGTCTTTCCCTCTCTCTAAAAAAAATCAATGGAAAAATATCCTTGGTGAGGATTAAAAAATAACAAAAACACAAATCCAGAGTCCAGTGCTCTTGCCCTGACAAGCTGTGGGCAGGGACGACACACTGGCTGGAAACAAAATGACCAGAGGGTTGAGGGTGCAGGCAGATGCAGAGGCCAGACGGGAAACCTACGATGCGTTTCATTCCCACGAGAATCCGGTTAGGCTGCAGGAAGACGTGAACCGCGCCTGGAACAGCTTGGGTCCCGGCCCGGAGGCGTGACTGGTATGTCTGCAGACCCGGCAGGTCAGGGCGGCTGGGGCTGTGTTCACGGGAAGGGTCTTCCCCGGAGGCCTGAGCGCCAAGCAGAGCGGACGAACTTCATCCTGGGAGGCCGAGCAGAAGCCACTGCCGTGGGCCGCCCCCGCGCACGCCCAGTCGCCACCCTCTGCTCACTCGGGGCTCCCGGCCGGACCACAGAGCTTCAGACTTCTTAATCGTCTCCGGTAATATAGTCCTGCCTTACCCGCGAGCCTACTCGTCCTCTGGTTTCCTTTTGCCGTTCCCGGAAGAGCGGCCCTCAGACCCAGCTCCAGCTCCAAGCAAGAAGCTAAGCCAATCCCGGAGCGTCCCGCGGCTGCGCACGCACCGAAGCCTCACGTACGTGACTCGGGGAACGTCCGCTACTGGCGGCAGCGGTGGCTGCGAGGGAGAGAGGGGCAGTGAGGCGCCCCGTTAGTGCGTCCAGATTCTGCGAACATCGTGGTTCGGTTTAGAGCTGGAAATTGGTGCCCTTGGCCGGGCAGTTCAGAAGTTTCCTTTAGCGTCTGAGGGCTTTTTTCCCGGTCGGATCCCCATTCAGGCACCTACTCAGACACCCATTCATCTTTCAGGGGTCCTCATAGCCCTCCCTGCCGCTAATTGACGGATACAGTAGCCAAGGCGACCGCCTGATTGACAGGCAGGATTACCAACCAACTTCCGGAAGCTCCCCTCTGGGTCCGCCCGGCGCGTGGCCGGGGGCCCGTGAAAGAAGTGAAAGAACCAAAAGGGACGGTAACCCGACAACCTACTCCTAGGTTGTTGGCGATTTCCCGGAGATTGCGCGCTGGGGGCTGAGGCGTTTTTCGGACAGTCGAACGATGCCGTGACGCAGCATAGCGATAGCGTTGGCAGTGTGAGCGCACCCCTGTGGAGGGAGCCCTTCGGTGTTCTTTGAAAGTGCTCCCTCGGAGTCCTAGCGTGGGGGAGGGGTGGCGGCCGACCAGCGGTTCCCCGTCTGCGCTTGCGCTTGCACCTCTGCTGACCCGGCCC